TTAAGGATGTGACATTTAATGACTTGTAGCAGTGGCAGAGGGCAGGGGCAGAGGCGGAAAGAAGGGGCAACAGGTGCACAACCTTGAACATCAAGAGGGAACGTTATCATGTTTTTATCAACCATAGGGGCATCTTATTGTTTCACTTTGTAGAGTTTTTATCAAACATTGGAGCACAGAAGGATACATGTGTGAAACAAACCAAAGCTTTCCTGACTATGGAATCAAGTTAAAATAAATGATGATAAACAGGTGACTTGCAGAAGCCTGGCTTAGCTAAGACAGAGAAACATGAGACTTATATGAAATGTGTGGCTTTCTTCTTCTCATAAAACGAAAGTGGGAAATTCCTATGGGTCAGGCTGCTGATGTAAACCCAATTGCAAGAGAGAGGTTGACTCAGTCATTTCAGGTGCATGTGCTGTGTGAAGAGCAGGATGTGTTTTCACAGAGTGCTTCCTTCGAACTGTTTTGCGACTGCGTGCGACTTCCAGAGAATAAACGAACATGTCGGTGAGAAAGTAGTCATTGGAGGTTCAGCTCTGAGATGACACAATGGAAAGCTTCATCTCTTTCAATGGCAGTCAGACAGCTGAACAATTCAAACACTGCCCTTCCCAGGTGATAAGGGAGGAATATGTAAACACAGTTAACACCAATGGCATAGTAAAGAAACGGTTTTAGTTTTTTAATAATGTGTGCTTTTATCGGCTGGTTCCTGGATTTGGTGAAGAGGCATATTCATATCTCAAGGTCATGCATAAAGTAGTTCATATAGTGTTATCAGTTGGACAAAAGCCTCTTCAAAACATTGTTGCAAAACAAATTAAGCCTAATGTAAGAATGAAACCATACCAGACATGATGAATCAGTGACAGCCTAACAAGGATACTCTACAGGTATTTGATAGATACAATTGATAAGAATCTTTCTTTGTGTCACACTGTTGTTTATTCTCCATAGTTTCACAAGAAACCACCCGAGCCTGAACTGATTCATCATTTGCAGTAACTGGCTGCTTTAATCACCACTGAAAGCAATACCACAACTCACAGAGAGAAGAGTCTGACGCAAAACTAAATGAAAAGAAAATGAAGGTTGGTGACTGTGGTCAGTACATTCACAACAACACAGAGTATCGAATATGAAGTCAAACTGAGGACAAACAAACTGAACAACACAAAGTCCAGCTAGTGACACAAGTGAACAAAAGGTCAACAAATTGAATATTTTCAGTCTATTGTCACTCAAGACAGAGAAGAGCAGAAAGAAAGAACAGTTAATGTTTGACACGTGTTGAGCGCCTCTCTGACAGTGAAAACAGATGAATGACGTCTTTCGTGTGTCCGGAGGGAGATTTGTAAAATAAATAATCCTGAATAACAAATATCCCTGATGATGTAAAAGTGATGTCACTAGGGTTGTCTCATATTGGGCTTTTGAACAGGAAACCTGCTTAACTAACTGGATGTGTGGAGCGGGTAGGAGGGCGAGGAGGACTTAACGAGAGATGCAGTTAAGTTGCCTTATGGGAAACGTAGGGTTCTTGGAATTTAACCCATGTTTTAAAGGGGACACATTGTGATTATAGGGTTTTCCCTTTCCTGTAGTGTGTTGTCTTGGTTTTTGTGAATAAAAATGGTCTGCAAAGGCTAAAATACCAAAGTTCCCTCCAGAGGGAGTTTCTCTCCCACACACTCCCCCACTGCCTGAAATTGGACTACTTTGTTTACTTCGGAAACACAGTGACATCACTTTGTAACACTCTTGCTGTTGGCTAGGTCTCTGGTTTCAGACAGAGGGGGAAAAGAGGTGCTGCAGCACAGGCAGTAAGAGAAAAATAAAGAGCTTTTTGAACATTAAAGCATGTAAACATGTCACAAGATACATTACATGTCACTTGTTAGACGCTTTTATCCAAAGCAACTTACATACATTCAATACTGTGGACAATCCCCACAGGAGCAATTTGGGGTGAAGTGTCTCAGGGACACAACGACATGCTGACTGCAGTGGGACTCGAACTTGCTATCCCCTGATTCAAAGTTCAGCGCACTAATCCACTGAGCACTAATCCACTGAGCCACAGCCTCCTCACAACACGATACAATTATAAACATGAAAATTAGCAAAATACGGCCCCTTTAAAGTAAGGATAGCTCAGCCTTTGCTTGTTTGATTTACATTTTCTTTCTCTTTTGAGTTCCCAAACATCATGGATGTAGGTAACCTCCTGGGAGGACATGTCAGTTTTCCAAGAGCCTGAGATCTGAAGCCTACAAGTTATCATTACCAGTTCTTCAGCTGGTAACATTACACAGGACACCAAATACCTGTCGACAAGTCATTAATGAAACAGCTGCAAACCATAAGGCATAAAAAGTCATGTTCGAGGCATTTTGACCTCTAAGTGTGGTTATGTTGGAGCCATGTGCACAGATCCCCGGAGACTCCCCGTCCTCCGCAGCCTGCAGAGCCGGGCTGACTCACTTTATAGCTGTGGTCACAGGAAAAATGTGTCACAGTTCTTGTAAGCGTTTCTCCTGCAGCCATTCATCATCCAGCAGGTCCAGCTGGATCCTGCTCTTAGGTTGAAAAGGTCACAAAGAGGAACTGAACCGTGACTGCTGGTTGACCTCCGCGGTCTAAACCTAGCCGGGAGCAAGGCTTTTGTTTCTCAAATACAACCTGCTGATTACATTTCTGATATTAATCTCAATTTTGAGGTTAAGAAGGAAATGATTCTACTACAATGTGACTCCTCGTGAAGTATTCCACTAAACATTTTCCCACATTCATGCCTGGCAACATCTCCATCAGTCAGCATAATATTTTAGCAGCAGGGGGTAAGATTTTAATAAAGTTTCTTATGATTCAGCACTTAGAAATCTGGCACATTTGGAGCCATTTATTGTGTTCCCGGGCAGAAGACCTTGGCTTATTCTCAGCACCTAGCCTGACAAAGGGTGTTTTTGGGTGTGGGGGTGCTGTGTTTTGTCATGAGTTGGAAGGGGGTGGGTGGATCAACAGCTGATGTCCAGATGTAGAGATGGTTTGATAGGATCTACACCGAGGATTTTTTGACTTAAAATGTGTTTAAAGCTTGAGGAAATGGTGCAAACTCGTGTAATTATTCAAGACTGAGTCTGGGATGATATCCAAACTTTAGTCTGCTGTGGAAACAAAGTCACAAGCTCTCTTTTTTTGTGGAGGGGAGTTTCTGAGACAGTACAAATTGTTACATTTGAGAGAAGTGGACACAGGCAGTGCACCATGTCCTCTTCGCCCAGGGACACGGATGGACGGGGTGAAATAAGGCGATAGGAATGCGGAACCGGTGAGAAATGCAGCTGGTAAAGGAAGCGGCTCTGTAAGCAAACCCACTATCTGACTCCATTAAAGGCAGACCACACCAGAGACCAAATAATCCATGTTCACAGAGACAAGGAATCAAAGCAATAACACACATAGAGAAACACAAAGAAAATTCATCAAAATCAATCAAAGTTGCCATTTAAGTTTCCTCATTGTTGAAATAAAATCAGCATTTTACTCACTTTTCTGTGCGCTCACACCATGGAAATTGGTCCCAGCCGCTATAATAAGTCCGCAGAGCGCGCAGAGGGTGTTTAAAGCCATGGTGTCTGCGGGGGAAAGCTGCTCGCTGTCGGCTACACGATTCCCGAAAAGTTCATCTGATTAACAATCCGAGCTGGTTTTGAGCATGGAAAAGCGAGCATCAGAGTGAGTCACCCGGAGGAGTCTGAGCCTTGTTTTAATAGCGCACACACCCACGCTAACAGTTCAACTCCTATGACTCATTTCCTATGTACTGTACTGCTCGGATTCTCTGCGCACTCACAGGAAACTCCTCAGTGTGTGGCACCATTTGCTTCTAGTGAAAGTTTCAATCAAACCACATCAAGTATGAGTTTAATACATTTCATTTTTTTTATGGCCACACCCCGGAGGATTTTCTCAGGGGTGTGAGAAGTACTCAGATATTGTAAAAAGTACCAGAGTGTAGGAATACTCTGTTACAAGTAAAAGTCCTGGATTCAAAATGTTACTATAGAAAAGTATTCGCATCAACATATACTTAGAGTACTAAAAGTAAAAGTACTAATTATGCAGATTTCAGAATAATATATTGTGTTTTGATTATAATTATTGATGCATTAAAGTGTTATAAAAGTGCAGCTAGTTTTAATTACTTGTACTCTTCAGGGTAGCTTGTGGATTTACTCCAGGTGTATTCTTATTTAATTGTTTATTATATTTCACATTATTAAAAAAATCTGCTAAGTAACTAAAGGCATTAAAGAAATGTAGTGGAGTAAAAGTACACAATTTTCCTCTGAAATGTAATGGGAGTACAAAGTAGCAAAACAAGGTAATGCTTAAGTGAAGTACAAGTACGTCAACATTGTCCTTAAGTACAGCACTTGAGTCTACTTAGTTACTTTACACCACTGGTTTTCCTCCACATTTTTCAGCAGAGTGTGTGCAGTCTGGAGTTAATAGTGTTCTCATTGTTATTACCACGCCTGTGTACGTCAGTAGCTCCCCTCTGCCAAAAAACACAACTCTCTGGCATGAGTGTGGGTCCCATGCACAGAAGAAGAGGAACAGCACACTGAGGCAAAAACAGATGACATTCACTAGAAAAACTATCAGCTTTCAAAGCCTTCGGGAAAAAGTCTCAGTCTAAAAGTTAGAGCTAATAAACTTGATCTTTTGTCCACTTCAGTGCCCTGTGCAGAAAACAACTTTTTGGAAACTTGACATTTGAATAGTGAGTGTCCCTGACACAGGGTGATGTTATGAAGGTCTGGGTGTTGCCTGCTGCTGCAACACAAATATGCAATAACATAGTCAGTGGACTCATGCTATCAGGTTGGCCCGTTACAGAGCATTGTGTCATATATTAGTAACAATAAAGAACATCCGTTACTACAACATATGTGCTGTGGGGCATACAATGATCACTTAGCACAAAGTAAAAACTACTAATTTATTAATAACAGGTTGTGCACATTCATGAGTAAACAACTATTGCCAATGTAAACATGTTAGTCTGATTTTTGCCAACAGTATAGCTAATTCTCAAAGAAGTCTTACTCAACTGCTCCCAAATGCCCGATAAACTTTTTTCTTCACAGCCTGGAACTTTTTATGCATGTGCTACATGGTGCGAACTGCCTTTCCCACAAGAGCTAACGTCAAACAGACGCTAACCCACCTCCCAGTAAATAGTTCACATCATCCGAACAGAGGGAACAGGGTTTCATTGGCGCAATTAGGTAAGAGGCATGTTGTTAAGCAGATGTTTTTGTACTCTTCTGTCACGGCTAACCTTTAGCAAAGCAGGACCTGGAGCAGCGCAGCCCACTAAGGACACCCATATGAGCTGAATTTCCATTGCAGTGATTTCATCTGTAATGAGGCACTATAAGCTGCAGATGTTGTGTCAAACTCTCCAACGGGAACCATGGCAACAGGATGAACACACACACACAGAGGACCTTGCCCAAGGTGATCCACACACTGCTGTATGTGCTGACGGGTCGCCAAACTCACTGACGTCTCTCATTGTTAATACTATAGCCTGAGCAGGGAAGTTACACAACCTTGGCTGTCGTACTTTACGTATAGAAACATATTTAGTCCTACACATGCAGGCCTCGGGTCTGTAAAGCACGGCTTCTTTTAATTTTGAAATTGCAGCTTCACTGATTTCACAGGATTTTCATAAACCAGCAGGACAAAACAATGAAAAGAATTGCGTCAGTCAGATGTACCTCAGCAGTTCCAAGTTATCAATACATTAAACAAAAGGAATATTTAAAAGTGGGCCCAGCTTGATAAAAAAAAGAGGATGTTTAAACATGGCAAGGACAGGATAAACAGTGCAGAGCAGCTCGACATGTAAGAATATCACTGTGTGCACAAACAACTGCGTTTATTAACTATAGCACAACAATCTCAGTCAGATGTGTCACTATCTGTTTGGTCACCAAATGGCAAAGATGCGGTCAAACAAGTCCTTCCAAAGAGAGATTAAAACAGGGAACACATATCTGATATCCCCAAAATGTCCACCTCTTGGAATACATCTTCAGTTCTATAGTCTTTTTGTCTATTCATTTATCTCCTTTGGTTCTGTCTACAGTTTTCCCTTCTCGCTCCTCGGCCTCTCTGGGAGTTAGGTGATGTAGATGCGGTGAAAGTCGTTGGCCCCGAAGGCGCAGTTGCACTTGGGGCACTTCCTCTGCCGGGTGTCGTAACGCATCTTCAGACACTCGTAGCAGAACACGTGGAAACACTTGGTGAGCACCGTCTCCTTGTCTCGTGTGTTGCAGCAGGGGCAGCGCAGCTTGGCCTGGAGGCAGATAAATGCGTTACATATGGGCCAAAACGCTCTCTTGCCAACAATGTTATTACCTCCATCCATTTTACGGCAACACAGCTCACACTTTAGGGTGTAACAAGTAAGCTGCAGGATACCCAGAGACCATAGTGATGCTGTGGAGCTCACTCTCTGGCCTTACCAATGAAAAACCAGCCAATGAGGCAGATTACACAAAGTGTAGTTATTAGCATTACAGCACATTACTCTCACTAGGCTCTTCTAGTGAAATGCAGACTGTGCCAGAAACCTTTTTTTATAACTCCCTCGCCACTTACAGAATTCACAAAAGCCCTACATTTCTCTGCATTAGAAAAAACCTGTTCATTTCCTGACCTTGTACTGGTTGATCTCCTCCTGCAGGATCTCATCAGCGTCAGAGTACACCTCCACCTTCTTCTGCTTCTCCAGCTTCCGCCTCAGCCTGGACAGATCCTCCTGTAACGCATCAGTAGAGTTGTTTAATACACTCATGTTGTGATCATCCAATCAGAACTTCAGGAGTCATTTGGGAAGAGATCTGCAGTTCCAAGTTATCATTAAAGTATAGAAATATTTCAAAGTGGGCCCAGCTTGATATGTTTTTAAATATTGTTTTATTATTTTGCTCCTATTGTGTTATTCTATATTGTGTTTGTTCCTTGTACAGCACTTTCGTCAACTGAGGTTGTTTTACATTTTAAACAGCTCAACATTTCCCCTCAGCCTCATCCTAGAAGTCATCAGAGAAGTTGTTTCCTAGTCTCGTGTTGCGATCGTCCAATCAGAACTTCAGGAGTAATTTGTGGAGAGATTGGGAAGAGTCTTCGTCCCTGCAACCCAACGTACCTGTGCTCTCTTCAGGTTGGAGCTCTCCCTCTCCCGGGCGGTGCGGTTCTCCGCAACAGAGACCTGGATCTCCTTCAGCTTGGCCTGCGTGTGCTCCAGCTGCACCTTCAGGTCCTCCGCCAGCTGGGCAGCCTCCACCGCCTGCAGCAGAGAAGGAACCGGACACACTCAATGAAGAAAAAAATTCCTGCGCTGTAATGTGGTGGAAGTACAGTACGCCTGGATCAAACTTGGCATTCTGAGTCTTCTACTTTCACAGGCACCATTAGTTGAGCATGTTTTATCCTATTCGCTGCTGATTTTCCAGCCCTGACGACTGTTTTCCACAACATACCATATACTGTACGCTTTGAGATCCTCTTCATAGCTTCCAGGCAACAACTGGTTTCGGTTAAATTAAGAAACTGCTTTTGTGTGTTCCTGTTCTGTTTAATCTTACTCCTGTGGTGGTTCCTAATTAGGTAAATCTCACATTAGTAGCAAAAACCTAGATGATAGGGCTGTGCAATTAATCGTATTTTAATCTCGATTACGATTTTGGCTTGCAACGATTAAAACAACGTAATCGAAATAAAACGATTATTATTTTTATTTAAAAATAAATAAAAATGTAATTATTTTTTTTTTTATTGGTTTTTCATTTGAATTATACTTAAAGTTCAGGGTAATCAACTGTTAAAAACATACTGTTCAACATTTTTTTTTTCAATAAATGGATGTTTTCAAAGTAAATGGATAATCGTTTTTAATAATCCTGATATAAATTATTGCCCAAAATAATCGTGATTATGATTTTTGCCATAATCGCACAGCCCTACTAGATGACCTCATTCACATTGCCCCAGGAAACATTTTTGTCCTGACAGGTACTTGGGCAATGTTAGAAACTACCAGGAATAATCCCACAAGTGCACACTTAACTCTTTTGGAAAAGCGTGAGAATCAGGAGGGTTTAACAGGCTAACAATGTAGCTCGTTAAAGCTTTTAATGTTTTGTGGAAGCAACATCTTGGTCTTTTTCCAAGCACCTGAACATACCTCTGTGTACGACTTTTAGCACATGCCATTCTCCAGATACTCTAACCTTAGACATCTGGCAGCAATCAAACCGTACAGGTGATTAGCAAACCTTTCAAAAGGAACTGACAGAAAGATTGATGGCATCTCTTTCCTCACCTTCCTCTTGTTGAGTTCTAGTCCTTGTGTCCGGACAGTCAGCTCCTTCTCCAGAGCGGCGAGTGTGCTCTGCAGGACGCCCTCTTTCTCCTCCAGTTTCTGCACCACCAGCAGCTGTGCGTCCACCTGCAGAGGCACAGCAAAGGTTAATACTTCCTGCACATAATGAAATCCATCAATGCTGCGCTTCCAGGATCAGCAGTAACACATCACCTGGGTTTTGAATGTGAGAACTTGGTCAGCCAGCTCCTCCTTCTCCTCTTTCAGCAGCTTGTAGATCTGGTTGGATTTGATTCGCTCGCTCATCAGCTTGAAGTTGGCGTCGTCTTTCTCTCGAAGCTGCTGCAACAAGCGGCTGTTCTGCTCCTGCATGTCCTCGAAGGCCTGGCCTGTAACATCCATCTCACTCAGCAGGGCTTCCTCCTCCTCGAGAGACAGACGTGTCAGGGATCAAAAACAACGCCGAGACAGTAACAGTCGTGCTGCCTCAGGATCTAAGCTTAGAAACTACTAGGGCTTAACCATCTGTAGTCATTCATATAAAGGATGTGCTGTGTATTTAGTTCCAAGTCATATTCCCCTAATATTATGGCGCATTTCTACTGCAGGGCCTCGCACGGCTTAGTACGGTATAGTTAGGCCTTGGTAGGCCAGGCTCACTTCATGCTGCGTTTCCATTACAGTTTAGGAACTGGGGTAGTAACTATAGTAACGCAGTGTAGGCGGAGCCGTGACGTCATCTTCAATGCGAAACACAAAACCAACATCAGCCGTTAGCTGTTAGCACTCAGAGCTCACAGCTCCTCATATCTGTTCAGAAACTAGACAAAAGTTAAACAAGTACAAACCACAGACTGCCTGTGTCATGGCGAGTACAGTCGCTGCTTTATTTATGTCTGTAGGCCGTTGTTGTGAGTGTGGACTCCCAAGCATGAGGGGGTCCTTTCAGACCCAAACATCTGTCTTTTTATAATGTTCATAAAATGGTATGGAACAACAGTTAAATGACTTAAAGCACGGTCATTACACGATTACGCGTTGGTGTAATTTCCTGTTTTTGATTTAATTACAGTCTCAGGAGGTAACAGAAAAGATTTGTCGGTGTTTTTTTAGGGTGTTTGCTTTGCAGCAGCGTTCTCGGTTCAATGCAACCCAAACTGAAAAAGTAGATCCTCAGGACTAATTTGATTCATACGGACTGATAAGATCATTTTCAGTGTAGCAGTAAGGTCAAAAGTGGAATGAATATTATCGTGAAAGTATTACATTATCTAACATGGGTGTATCCTCTATCTACGCAACTCAAGTTTTAGAACTACCATGACATTATTTCACCAACATTTGAACCCTGCTTGTAATTTCCCCTCCCTCCATGCTCTCTTATCTGCTTAGTTACTTACTAATGAAAATCAATGCGAGCGTCCTAACATAGCAGCAGAGCCAAGAGAGTGAGCTCAGATCTGACAATGTTTTACATACTTTGAATTTATCAGGGTGGCTTATCCAAAAATGATTCGCCCCACCTAAAATGATTGTGTTTAGAACACAGGGTATATGCAGGAACCCTGAAGTCAAATGTAAGACCTTTTAAGACCTTTTTTAAGACCCTTTCCATACATTTTAAGACCTCATCGCCACTTGGAGTTTTAACCGGTTACCTTGGCGACACACTTTACCTCACATTGACTATATACAGTATTGATTGCCCTTCCTCCTTATCTTCCAACCATTTGGACGCAGACTTGCATTTCCCCATAACGATGTTGTTTAACAACCGGCGTAAACAGACCTTCGCGCGCTATCAAGCAGTGAGCGTGCGATGTCCTGTTCAGATGACGTCAAATCCAACGGGATGCCATAAATAAACTACACAGAATCACACTACACACCTACGCAATGATTACATTCAGGCAGACTGTAGAATACAACCTCTTTGGACAATTTATATACTTATTGAAAACAAGCTACAAAATGTAATACCTTGGAAAATGCTGTTTAATACTTTTTAATAGCCTTCATTTTCCTTTGAATACTTTTTAAGACCCCGCGGACACCCTGGAGTAATTTCAACAGGATTGTTTGAAATCATCCCCTCCTCCCCTCGTGTAGCAGGTCAGACAATGTCAGAGTAAATTGATTAATGCCAGGTCACAAAATGCTGCTGATTTTCATTCAGCCGGGTGCCGGGATCATTTGATATTTATATTAAACTAAGGCTGTGCAATTAATCGTATTTTAATCTCGTTTACGATTTTGGCTTGCAACGATTACGAAAACAACGTAATCGAAATAAAACGATATTTTTTTTTTATTATTATTTTTTTTAATTATTTTTTTTATTGTGTTTTCAGTTGAATTATACTTAAAGTTCAGGGTAATCAACTGTTAAAAACATACTGTTCAAATTATTATTTTCAATAAATGGATGTTTTCAAAGTAAATGGATAATCGTTTTTAATAATCGTGATATTAATTATTGACCAAAATAATCGAGATTATGATTTTTGCCATAATCGAGCAGCCCTATATTAAACTGCCGACAAAAAGTGATTTTCTTTAAAGCAATAAATAATTAGTATAACAGCTGATCAGATTAAAAATGTTTAGGCCAGAGCTCCAGCTTTCAATTCCTCTTTTCACGTCTAAGATTAGGACGTCGTCTTCCTTAGTCAAATGTGATACTCATTGCACTACTTTCATTCTGAGCACAGCTGGCTTCGTATTTATTTTCATATCTGGTGCTGCCCCAAAGTTTGAAATCTTATGATTAATGGTTTGTTTCATTGTGGTCTGAACAAGTGTGGTGAATGCTTTTGTACATGAATATTAACTCCTACGAATATTAACAGTCACTTGCTCTGATATGTTTAAGAGATCAAAATGCGCGTACCTGTTTAGTGGCCGCGAGTTTCTTCTGCAGATGCTCAATGGTCTCCTCTGCCACTCGGATCTTCCTGAGGGCATCTTCATCCGCCAGCTTCTTGCTCTCCTTCCTCTCCCTCTCCTCCAGCTCTCGCACTCGCATCCTCAGCTCATCCACCTGGACAGGTAGAGAGAGAGAGAGAGGGATTACAAAATGCAAAACAAGACATTTGACAAAGTATCAGGGTATATGCAGGAATCCTGAAGTCAAATGTAAGACCTTTTTTAAGACCTTTTCCATACATCGCCACTTTGAGTTTGAACCGGTTACATTGGCGACACACTTTACCTCACATTGACTATATACAGTATTGATTGTCCTTCCTCCTTATCTTCCAACCATTTGGACGCAAACTTGCATTTCCCCATAACGATGTTGTTTAACAACCGGCGTAAACGGACCTTTGCTCGCTATCAAGCAGTGAGCGTGCTATGTCCTGTTCAGATGACGTCAAACCCAACGGGATGCCATAAATAAACTATACAGAATCACACTACACACCTACGCAATGATTACATTCAGGCACAATGTAGAATACAACCTCTTTGGACAATTTATATACTTATTGAAAACAAGCTACAAAATGTAATACCTTGGAAAATGCCGTTTAATACTTTTTAATACTTTTTAATAGCCTTAATTTTCGCTAAATTGATTTATCAACTTTTAATACTTTTTAAGACACCCTGCAAAGTATATAAGAAAGACAAAGACACCAAAAAACAAACCTCAGCTTTAGATTTACGTTCGGCGGCCATGAGCTGAACTTTGTCCCTCTGCTCTTTAGGAGCTGATTTGTACATGTCCAACAAGAGCTTCATCTCTTTCTGGGACTCCTGGGCTTTCCTGACGAGTCAAAGAGATTATATTAATGACAGTAATCCGATAAGTGCAGTTCTTTGAGTGCACACATTTGGTTGAAAAGACATCATTGCAGGTCAAAAAACAGCAAAGAATGCATTGTAAATATAATGTAAAGCGATGAGTAGAAGAAGGATGTACTTGAGTTCGACTCTGAGCATCTTCAGAGTGTCCGAGTCCTTCCTCTTCAACTCGTCGCTGCGCTGCCTCTCTCTCTCCCGATCCCTCTCCCGCTCTCGGTCGGCCTCCCTCTCCCTGTCTCTCTCCCGGGCCCGCTGCCTCTCCAGCTCCTTCCTCCTCTCCTCCTCCTCCTCATGGTCCTCATCATCCTCTTTCTTCACTTCGATGCTGTCATTCGTCGTCTCGTCGAGGATCAGAGTCCCCGTGTCGCCACTTTGACAACGCAACTGTGGACGGAGCAAAAAGGTGAATAAAGGGACACTGGTTAGCTGCAATGCATCACTCATAATGTTTTGGTGCCGTTCAGAAAACCCCTTTGGATCTCACTGAATCAAACACATCACACATTTGTTCGTTATTTAGGTCATCTACCTTATTGATCTCCATCTGGGTTTCCCGCAGCTTCCTCTTGTAGCGCTGCACGTCGCCCTTCAGCTGCAGGTTGTGGTTCTGAAGGCTGCTGATCAAATGCCTCATCTCTCTGTTGATTGGCCCTGAGAGAGCAGAGAGCAGAGAGCAGAGAACAGTCAACCTGTGGTCTGGGTTTGAGTCATTCAAAGTTATCTGGGGCTGCAAGTGACGCAGGGAGGTCATGATGATACAAATTGTTTATTATACACACTAACAAAGACAATGCGTTTACACACAGATATCAGATAGAAGTGTGCTGTGTTGATCTGTGTGTTGCTCAATGGGACAGTTAACTGCAAAAGGAAAGATACATCCTGTTACCCGTAGTGCTCTCTGATATCAATCTGTCTATTTCTCTTTCTGGTAAATGTCTACATGTGGTTTGAGAGGTTAGGTTCAGTAGTATAACATATTTTCAATATAAAAACAGCCAACAACAGCATCTTGAGTGACAGGGGCATTATTTACATGTTTCATTTTGCGCTTTGAACAGCTTAAGCCGAGTGCCATCTAGTTCAGTTATAGTCAAGGGAAGGCAAACATTTCAAACGGACACAACAAACGCAGCAACTCAAACTAAAAGTATCTAAAATGATAAATAGCGCTACAGGTAAGAGGCAAAGTGAACTGTCCCTTTAATGTTCGCTTTGAGTATCATTCTAAAATCACCATAATCAACAGCGTGAAAATCATATCCCTTAATGCATCTCTTAACATGCTTTCCCTCCCCTCTTCCAAGGCGTGCTGATGGATGTTTGTTTGTGTTTGTGTTTACCTGCTTGCTCGTTGGCTGCCAGGTTCTGCTCAAACTCGATGCGCAACATCTCGTATTCTTTGCGCACCTGGGCCAGGGTATCCTCCAGCTGGATAACCTCGGTTCGCAGCTTCTTCTGGAGCGACAGTTCATCACTCTGAAAGGTTGGAAACAGTTGTTGACAATGTTGCCAAGCATTGGTAATAATAAACACTGTCAGTTGTAGGTTGCTAGGGCCAAGCAAACAGTAAAGACTGATAGTAACACAGGGCCAAAGCCAATGCGCAGTGAAGAAAAGTATTTTCATTTTTATTCTCTGATGGACAATGTATATTTTAAGAGATCAACTCTGATGGATGAAGTTCACCTCCATGTGCTCGATCTGTCGGAGGTGGGCGTTCTTGGCAGTGAGCAGGAGGGCGCGTGCTTCATCCAGCTGGGTTTTCACCCCCAGGGACTCGTTGTAAAGCAGGGAGAACTGCGACTGCAGACATTTGTACTCCACAGTCTCCTTCACAACGTCTTCTGGAATATTCCGCAAATCCATCTGAAAAATCAGACGATGACAGTGAAGCATTGGAAGTCTTTTACCGCACTACATTGGCCAAAAACTACATTTTCATCCACAGATTCAAAAGGTGGATATGATTTGGGTTTGTGAAACCAGTTGTAATGTTCTAATCAAACAACCAGAGATAACATCTTCACCTTGAGCTTCTCACTCTCCCTCACTGCCTCCTGCAGCTCCGCCTGCAGTTTCTCCAACTCTGCCATGCGGCTATTCGCCAACTCCGCGTTGTGCTCCAACTCCGCATTGAGACTCTCAAACTGACATTTAAAAAAAACAAAAAAAAACATGTTATAAATACTTAAGTATAAATGACCATGGAGTGAAACAAACTGGCATCTGAGATGTGAACCAAGTTATGTGCGAAGAAAAAGTTCCATGTCCCATTTATTTGCAAGATGTAGCTTTGTATGAAAGCTCACCTTCTGAATGTTCAGAGTAATCTGGCCTCCAGAGAGTCCTCCTGAGCTGCTGGTGCTGTATCCGGACTTCAGCTGCAGATAATAAATGCAAAACATAAGTAAAGAAACAAACAAGAACAAACAAGGCCGAAAAACCACATGACAGTAAACAGGTGCAACACATCCTATGACATCACTCAAACAATGCTTATGTTTTAATGTTCAGATGTCTAATGCAAGAAAATACCATTTGATCAATGCATGCATGGCCAGCTAGACATGCATCAATAGAGCAGCTGGTTTAAAGGTAGGGTAGGTAAGAATGGAGAAACCGAAAGCCTATCACCGAATGAATACGCCTCGTCAATAGACAAAGATAACACACACAATAGGCAAGTTCACAGAGCGTTTTATAATACAATTCAAGCTCTAAGTACTTAAACGTAACATTTCCAGATTTTCAAAGCCTGTGTATTACATCTAAATAATATAATTGCAATTGAAAAATATATTTTACAGACTTATTTTGTATAAATTAATAGAGTGTGTGTCTTTCGAACCGACTGCTCATATTAACTCTGATTGTATGTTTCGATCAGGATGATTTAATTCTTATCTAGCTTTGGTCCCCTGCGCGCCTGGTGTAAGATGCCACAGGGCAAAAGACCAAATTATGTTTTGGATGTGCAGATGAAACACGGACTTTAAATAAAAGCAGTTTTCAAAGAGTAGATTTTGAATTCAAGCTTATTTTCGAAACCTTTAAATACCTTTAAACGGTCAAAAGTAAGCAAACACAAAGCCTGCAAGTTGCACACAGACAATTTCAATTTCAATTTCACGCACCTGCTCCATGGCTTCTGCCAGATGTTTGTTGAGCTTTTGTTCCCTGTTGCGCAGTTTCTCGATGTCCCACTGCAGGTCCTCGACTGTCGTCTCCATCTCAGACACCTTGGTCTCAGAGCTGGTCACCTTGTCCACTAACTCGTTGTACTGCAATAAAAGGCAAAGATGTGAAAACAGCTGTTTCAGCAGTGAAGCAATGGCTGCATACACACAGAACAGCTTTTTACAAGCCACAACAACAGAGCCAAGGACATCGTACCTCCATGGACATCTTGTGGTGTCGGCCCTGCAGCAGAGTGGTCAGGTCTCGCAGTCGAGTGTTTTCGTCCAGCAGAGTGTGGTTTTCATTGATTATGTCAGATTGGCTATCGTCATCACATGCTGTCAATAAAGATCAATAAAGTTATGTCAAATTACAGTGGAGCTAACAACTTAATACAGACAGATAATTCGTTTTAGAGCAGGGTATAAATTGTACAGCAGGTGTTCTTCAATTGTATTTGTGTGTCAATTGCTTATTATCACATATGAACGATCATTAATCAGCTTATTCCCACAGTTACCTGCAGCCTGGACTTGCTTGCACATGCTGTCGATGCGGCTGTGTAGCCGGTCAAAGACGCAGACCAGGCAGGCGATGGCTTCCTTGCTGAACTGCATGCGGTCTTGGAGGTGCAGGCTGAGCTCCTCCTCGCTGCTGTGCTCCAAAGTAACCAGGAAGCCCTTAGCATTGTCACTTAGAGGAGGAGGGAGCGACGATGCATCTGAACATAGTAAAAGGTGGTAATATAAAAGGTTAGTTAAAATTTTAAAAAGCTTATTATCTAAAGGTAACAAATAAGTGTTGACTTGACAGTTGAAAATTGTTTTGCAAGTTCTCATGACATTGAAAGAATGCAGCAAAAAGCCAGGTTGCCTCCTTTACATCTCCATCTTTTTGTCTTTAGAGACACGTTCATATTAAATCAAATATGTACATTTCCACAACAGGTGTTTTTTGAGTAAATACACCTCTAATCACTAACAAATATATGACTATCAATGTTTTTTTTTTTTGTTTTAAATGGTATTTTGCAGCAAGAACATGCTCTTAAATGTTCATATACCCTTTTACTCTACCAAAAGCATTAGCATTACAATTATTGATTTGAGATGTTTTTTGCAAAAGTTGAACACAGTTAACAACCGGAAACAACAGTAGCAATATAACAGAAAAAGGTATATGTTGAATACTGAGGAGAACTGATATTGAAAACGTATGTGGAATCATACCCATTTACACTTTAATCCAAATTCTAATAATGTGACGATCAAATAACATGTTATATGCTTAGATTCTAGCGGTCTACTAATGCAGTAAGTGATGGAGACTTTCCATAGATCACATTAGTAAAAAACCCTGCTTACCTGTTGATGAGTCGTGTGGCGGCTCCTTCAGGTTCATCTCTTCTGACCCAGTAGGAGGCGGGGGATGCTTCTGCCCTTCTAGGCGCTCTTCCTGATGCGCGTCGTGCTTCTCTGCCAGCTCCCCCCCGTTTGGACTCGCTGGTAGAGGAGGTGGAGGCACGGCGGAAGTTGGTGAGGCCAGACTGACACCATCTTCCTCCATAGATGTTGGTTCAGGCAGAGGGGGTGCAGGTGGGGCAGGGGTCGATGACACCGGAGTGCCGGGCTCAATACGTTTCCGCAGAACTTGCACATTTTCGTCCAACTGCAAATCAGACACACAATTATTAAAAACATTACCTAGGGTTTATTTTCTGTACAAAAGTATCATATAGTACTTTATTAAAATGTGTAAGATCATGTAAACAAGGGGTTAGGTAAGGAAAGACAGATACAAAAAAGTGTTTATTAGTTGTTGTGGAACCCCAGGTGGCTTTGACAGAATGAGACCCCACTTATCTTGTGTTTACATCACCAGTTTGAGACGCAAATTGGGTATAATCTGGTTAAAACAATGTAATTAGATGTGAAGAGGTACCTGGGACCAGTAGCGGTTGACAATCAGCAGGGTGGTGTCATCGGTGGCTTGTCTCTTCTCCAGCTTCTCAATTTTCTCTCGTAACTCATCCTCCATCGTCTGTCTCTGCTCCAAGCGCTCGCATAGCTTCTTATTCTTGAACTGGAGGACCTTCATGTCCATTTCCTCCTGCACAGAAAAAATACAAAAAAACGAAGTGAGCAATGTCATAAATGCTGATTATTGTTCTTAGTAAGTGTTTAATATATGTGGACTTGTAAACACCAAATGACTGACCGTAGAGGAGACTCCTGCTATGCGTATGGGCTCTATCAGAGTGGTAGTGGTCTTCTCCTCTTTTTTGCTCTTCTTCTCAGGTGGGACAGGGGGGCTGTCCCCTCCTGAGGGACGTTTTCCTCCCCCGGCACCTGACATCTTTCCTTCCCCTGCAAGAGATCAAACAATATTTGCGTTGGTACAGCTTTAAGAAACTACACATTAGTTTGTAAATAGGGAACTCATTCATTTGATGACAGCTAGCTACGGCATTAGCCCTGCACTAAGGGCCACTGATTGTAATTGGCTCCGAATAGTGCTCTTCTGGTGCTAATGTTAACATATGTGTGTCTTATCGATTATGCTGACTGATATTGTATAACCTACTGTTTAAAACACTACCGACTATTCTCAATTTAGCAATTCTTCTCGGATTACCGAGCGTTAGCAAGCTTGTAAACGCTAGCTATGCTAATGCTATCTTTCTCCGAAACCTTAGTTAGCTAAACGGGGCTCTTTGTCCAGAATATTGAATGACTGGTGGTCACGACTTTCATTCAGGGACCACCATTACATCTAAATGATGTTCTGAAAGGAAACTATACACGCAAATGAACGTATAAACAACATTTACGGCAAATATTAACGTTACAAACCTTCACACGGAGCGACTGAAAATGTAACTCAGTGCATCCAGCGAAGCTACAGGAAATAACGACATGGTACTTCCGCAGATTTTTTATTTTAAGAAATGTCAATCACAAAAAAAAAAGATATACATTAAATGAGTATGGCATTTTGTGATAATACAAAATAAGTGGAATTATTTGTAATGCCTAAAAAAAGAAAGAAATTATGAATATGTGTAATGAACCTAGCTGCAATCTTTACTCCGGCCACACGGGGGCATTGCTGCCACATTGTGTAATAACAGGCTACTAGCTGTTTCGCGGAATGAGACTAGAATGTAAACATCGCTAACGGTAGCTAGCGGTTGTTGTTGACATAACCGGTAGCTAACTTTGAATTTGTCGCCGCTGAATCGCACACAGTTATGGCTTCACGATAGATTCCTCGGGCTGTGATGGCATTTTCATAAAGATTCCTTATTCGCCGTCTCCAGCTCACTCTTGTTGTGACATTGCATACTTGGTGAGTAGCTTCCTGTACGGTCAGTGAACCTGCTGCTGCAGCAAGGCCAAAAAACACACAGCTAGCTAATCAAACCCACATTTTTAAACAGTCGAGAGTAGAGAAAGGTATGTGTAGCAAGCTATTCCAAATAAAACTCTTATGATTTGAATGAAACTAAAGTTAATACAAACACTTCCTTGTCAGTAGTTCCTGTTATTAGACCGATCATACCGCAATGTTACAAAGTGACACATGTGACAAACAGTTTGTTGTTATTACAGATTCGTATGCTGTCACCATGACCAAAGACATACTTCTTGGAGATGAATTACCAGACTGGGTAGGGGCCAAGGAGTTTTACCAGAAGTATGACCCTAAAGAGGTGATTGGAAGGTGAGTGCAGTAGAAAAAAACTGAAATGTGATCTTAGCTTTCTATATGAATAATAATAAAAACATTTATTCTGTATCCTGGGTCAATGTTGTCTCAGGGGTGTGAGCAGTGTGGTGCGCAGGTGTGTGCACAGACATGGGGGTCAGGAGCTGGCAGTGAAGATTATTGAGATAACAGCTGAGAAGATGACAGTCCAGCAGCTGGAGGAGGTGAAAACCTCCACACTGAAGGAGATCCACGTCCTCAACATGGTGAAAGGACATTCCTCAATAAGTGGGTTTGAATTCTACTCTTCCCGAACTGCAAGACACTTTTATTTTATTTAAATTAAAATGTATTGAAAACTTTTTCTTTGTGTTGATTCCCTTCAGTCACTCTCATTGATTCATATGAGTCTACAACCTTCATATTTTTGGTGTTTGACCTGTGAGTATTACAACAAATAGCTGAAGTGCAATCACTTTGACTATTCCTTCCCTAAAATAGAAATGCATAATCACGAAGCAATTGTATGATGGTAGTAATCTTGTATTTTCACTTACAGCATGAGGCGAGGAGAGCTGTTTGACTACCTCACAGAAAAAGTGACTTTGAGTGAGAAAGAAACCAGGTGAGCTCCAACTTCGACACATCAACTGATTTAATTTGCACTACATTTGATTTTAGATGGAAAATGTCAATGGAAAAATGTATGCATTGCTTTACAGGAGTATTATGCGAGCTCTGCTGGAGGCCGTGCAGTATCTTCACTCCCTCAACATTGTCCACCGGGACCTCAAACCTGAGAACATTCTCCTGGATGATCAGGGACACATCAAACTGTCCGACTTCGGTTTCTCTGTGCAGCTACAACCTGGAGAGAAGCTTAGAGGTACTGGAGTGTATAATAAAATAACTGGAAATGAATGATCTATTTAGATATGCATATAGTTTGTGTAGACAGAGGTTAACATGATCTGTTCTCTTTTATTTGAATTAGACCTTTGTGGGACACCTGGCTATTTGGCCCCTGAAATACTGAAATGTTCCATGGATGAAATGCACCCAGGCTGTGGCAAAGAGGTCGACCTGTAAGCCTTCCTTTTGTTCATAACATTAATCTGTAGTGTCATTTGAATCAGTATACATTCACAAAGAATGATCCTGGCTGTTAGTTATATCTCTAATTCTTGCTGACCTTTTTGGTGCATTTATTGAACAGCTGGGCTTGTGGTGTTATCCTTTTCACCTTACTGGCTGGATCGCCACCGTTCTGGCATCGCAAGCAGATGCTGATGCTGAGGATGATCATGGAGGGCCGGTATCAGTTCAGCTCCCCTGAGTGGGACGACAGGTCGGACAACGTGAAAGATCTGGTGAGCTGATAGAAGTTTTGTAATATCTTGTGAATGTTTGGAATACTCTCGTTTGGTTACGCCATGTAACCATAGTAAGACTAAACAATTATTCACCAGAAACAGAATGTGATTTTTCTTTTTTGGGGCAAATCTTAAGGTCAAAACATAAAGCTTTAATTTGGTTGTTTTGCTTGTTAGACAGCAACATCTACAGCTTCACATAAGTCTTTTTTTTTTTATCACATTGCTTGTGCTGCTCAGATATCCAGGCTGCTGGTGGTGGACCCTGCCATCCGTCTCACTTCTGAGCAAGCCTTATCACATCCCTTCTTCAGACTGTACCAGAAGGAGAAAGTGCGACTCTTCAGTCCCAGAAAGACATTTAGGGTGAGTCACAGTATTGAGTTTAAATTATATAAACTTCTCGTCCTTTCCATTCTCACATGCTCTCCCGACTCCTCAGGTGTTGATAATCAGCGTGCTGGCCTGTATCAGGATGTACAACCGTTATCGCAGGACTCGCCCTCTGACCCGGGAGGTTCTGGCCAGAGACCCCTACTCCCTCCGCTGTGTCCGCAAACTCATCGACGGCTGCGCCTTCCGCATCTACGGGCACTGGGTGAAGAAAGGGGAGCAGCAGAACCGAGCCGCCCTCTTTCAGAACACGGCTAAGATCATGCTGCTGGGCCTGGAGGACTTCGAACCATAAACTGGTCAAGCTCATTCCAAACCACGGTGATTTGTATTTAAACATTTGCATGTGTTTTCATGTCAGTGTTGTTGAATTACTGTGCTTGATTTCAAGATGAGGTGTTCAGGGGCCAGGGTGGTTCTATGCCTTAATGCGCACCGTGGTTTTCCGAGTTAAATATAAGCACGCACATCTCATCCTATCTGCGTTTTGATCCGAGTTTGTGGCTGTTTGAACATTTTCTTGTCAGGTCATCATGTTTGCAGGGCCACTTTGCAGTTTAGGACACATTGCACAATAATTTGAATAACATATAACATACAACTACATTATGTGTACTTAGGATTTTACCTGTTGATCGTCAGTTTTACTGAGAAGAACATGTGTTTCAAAGCACTGTGTGGACATTAAAGCACTATGGTTTACTGTTTAGATAATAATTATATAGACATAACACAACAAGGTTCAGATTTACAAGGGTTACAAAGCAGTACCAGAAGACATGTTTAACATTCAAGTACAGTATTTGGGGTGTTTTTGGTAGATATACTGTCATGCATGCAGACATTCCTTAATAAGAAACCCACTTATCTAACTGTGAAGACTATTGTGACTGTATTTCCTATTGAAACTAACCAACCACGTTACATCCTCAGTTTATTCTGCAGTTTAATGAGTGGCACTTCCAGAAAGTGCCTCCCTGAGAAATGTACATTCATTGTAAAAATGCAGATATATGTACTGTATATGAAGAAAAAATGATTTATTGAGAATAAAACTAATTCGAAGCTCTAATTGATCTAATTTGTGTCAGTCCTTTAAGATCAATGTTTCTTAATCAGTGTTTTTTGGCCTTTTGGTTGGGCTGTGGAGAATTTGGTGCGCTCTTGTGCTGATCTGCAATGTCTTTCATTCGCTGATCCATTTGTCCAGACACGAGCGTCATCTGCTCTCTGACCTCTCTCTCTATAAGTCCCTTCAGTTCTGATTGTGAACCTGAAAGGGATGAAATTAAGCAGTTAGAATACAATATTCTGGGTGCATTTGGCTTTTTAGAAAAACTATGATTGGGCTACTACCTAGGGTTGCTCCCTCCGGCTCATTCTCAACATCTGGTGCAGGAAAAGTACGAGTAAGTATCAATACAACTGATTTAAAGTGCTCTAAAATATCAAGAATATTCTGTTTTCAATGTGACACAATATAAAAAGGGCTTTGTGCCACTATACCTGCAAATACCAATGTTTTTATTACCTAGAGCAGAAGAGTTCTCCATGGTAGGTTCATCCTGGTCTGGGATCCCAGAGTAAGTCAAAGACAAGTCAAGTTTTAGCTGGTAAAAAATAATAAAGAGAAGTATTATAAAAATAATAGTATTATTTAAAAAAAGGAACAATAGCAGCGGTTGCTTGAATCTATGTTTGATTGTTACCTGTGGGGTGAAAATATATTTGTAGAGTTTGTACTGTCTCACGTAGCGGTTATAGATGTAGTTTAAGATACAGGTCGCCTCCTCAGAGTTAAACAGGTTGATACTAAAGGGAGGTCGCTGTTGTGGGAAAACATTCAAATTGAACATTGTATAGAAATCTGTGGGCTAAAACCCATATATATATAACAGTTTCCCACCTCTTTAATGTCTTGTTTTGCCAGTCCAAAAACAAACGATTTCTAGCTTAATATGAGTCAGAGTCTAAAACATTGATTGTTGCAGCTCTACTGAGTAACATTGTTTGTGAATTGTTGTACACACCCTGACTGAGTGACAGAGAAGTAGCTCCTTGCAGTATTTGAAACACTGCTCTATGTTGTTGAGCGGAGTTTCTGCAAGAAAGGAGTTTCAAACACATCCCATTTAAAGTTAAGGAACATTTAAATGAGTAATCTTGAAGCATACTTTGTTTGAACATCATCCATCTACACTGCATTGATAATAATGTGACTTTTTTTGTACCTATGTTAGCTTCATGTGTGGCCTTGATGATGGACAAGAGAGCAGATGTTTGTTCCTTTTTAAAGTTGCATTCTCTGCAAAAAAGCACCGTCTGGACATACAACTCCAGCAGAACTCCTCTCTTTGGTTCAGGGAGATCGACTCCAAACACTCTGCATAAAGCACTGTCACAGAAGAGAAGAAGTGTGAAAGAATACTTAATGCAGTCAGTGTGATTGTGTTAAATAGATAAGAAATGTTTTGTGGTATTAAAAGGTGGTAAAAACCTCTCCAGATCAGGGATGGACTGCATTTTCTCGATTTCCTCCATGTCATGGTAGTTTACGTCTGTCCTGAACACACACAAGGAATGGATTTTTGCTAGATATTTTTATGCAGGGCTTAAAGCAGCAACCAATGACATTGAATATAATCTGGGGACACAGCTCTCACCATAGCATCAATTTAGGTTTCAGGGCCTGTGGTACCTACAGGAAAAAAACAATGCATCACAAGGCTATAATTCTTATAGCTATATATAAAATCCTTATATTTTAACTATATAATTTATAACAAAAATAAAGTAAACGAGCAGGCAGTCAAGTAGCAACCTGTAACTAGCTCTTACCTCTGTTATTGTATCCATTTGTATTTATTAAGCCCAATTATAAATTGAGCAAACTGCAGACGTTAACAGCTGAAAAACAGAAGTAAGATTACACCGATTCTCTCATAAATGTTTGACCAAAGACAAGTTTGCTGTTTGGAAGGTTGTATCCTAGCAACGTGATACAAATGTTCTCTTCCGGTTTAGCGCTCTGTACAGAAAAACATAAAATGTATTTTTATGAAATGAAAATAGAATATAAGGAATTGAAAAATATAAATAGCCTTTTCTATACATAAAACGCTAATATAAATACTGAAAAGAAAAAAATATTATAGAGGAAAAAGATAAGCTGAAATATCCACAATTATTTTTTTAGATAGGCTACTGATCTTTATTTTGTCGAAAATCAAGTGATTTCATTAAATTCTAGTATCTAGGCCTACCATTTAATAGAAAACTTTACTTTACATGGTACAAAAAATAATAAACCGATTTGCAGCTTCAAAAAAGTCTCAATACACTTAAAACATCAAATGCATAAATACGAATTTAACAAATGATTATAAGCCTACATCTACCACTTACCATCTACCATCTAGGCCTACCAAAAATAATAATAACAGGAATTATTCAAATGAGTTAATGATACAAATTAAGAGGATACAAATGAGTCATGAAATATAAAATCAACATGTGCAAACGTTGAAAACGTCAAAGCTAAATTAATAATACAGACACAAACAATGTTGTTTTCTCATTAAAAACATGGATTTGTTGATTGTTTTGAATTTTCACCGCTCTCAATCGCTGCTGCGTGACAGCCGTATCCATGGAAACGACATAAACCTGCCTGTTCGGCTAATAGCCAACGCTTTGTTTCTGTTGTTTTTTGTGATCTATTTTTTGCCGTTTTAGGGGATTTTAATGGCCCACGCGGTTGTTATGTTTCGTGAGACAGTAGAACACGATGAGGCTCGTTTGGGGGAGACTCGGAGGGTTTACTAGCAGTTTTTGGTGACTGGTTTGGCTTCCTGTTTCACTGTTTACGGCCGGGTAAGTGATGCATGTAAGTATTTAATAGTGGCATGAGGAGGTGATCACCTTCCCTTCCTGTTTCTCCTGTGTTTACACCTTAGCACCCACACAGAGCGGTCCTAGAAAGCCTGCATTGCCCCTGCTACTTCTGCTCCACACTGACTGAGCTGCGCAGTGCACTTTAAGAACATTATCCCCCTTTAATCCACTTTGCCTTCTGCTACACAAAGGTGGACAGGGTGCCACAATCAAACAACACATTTTATTGCTCTTTTAATTTGGAAACAGATGAATTTCTCACATTGAACTTTTAATGCTGGATTTCATAGCCTCTGTTTAAGTATCCTTAATTTACTACTGTTTGTGAATAGCAGCGATTCATCCTCTCAGACATGGAGGACCCTGATATACGACAACAGAAGCTCGACAACCAGGTAAAGAAACAAGGATAATTCAAGTATTTGATGTCTTCTACACATAAAATAGTCCACATATGTTTTGCTTTATTTTTTAATTGTTCAAGAAGCAGAATCCAAATGACAAAGATATGTTACTTTTAGGTTATAGTAGACGTTTAGCTCTGTTCCTTTATCAAAACATAGGTTAAATATAATAATTATAGTCCATGCTGACAGTGCATAAAATACTGGGACTTATTTATGTCCAATTAGCTTACATGTGGTTAAAACAAAGTAAATAAAGCTTGAGATCCTGGCTACCTGTGTCAGGACCACCTGCTACTCAAGTTTAAGTCTCAGTCTTGTGACTGCTGGCTTATATCCAGTAGAGTATAGCTTCAACACAAATATCTTATACAAGGAGGATCAGTAGTTAATCAGCGATAGAAGTACTAATTATAGCTGTAGTAACCAAGTAAGATGTTAGTAAACAGTAACAATGACGCACAGGCATAGTTATATAAGGCATAGAATAGAATTATGCAACCAATATGTGTTATATTACAATAGTAATTTTCCCAGATAACATCCCAAAACCTCATCTGGTACTTTTTGTGGTTAAATAATAGAACAGAATATTATAATTCTGGCCAATGATCATGGCTCAAGGTTGGTTGATTGTTATTGTATAAAAAAGGGTTGCATAATGAAATGCAGTTGTAGCCTTTTTATGCTGTAGATGAAAAATAAACACAGTAGTGCAATCATGTAGTTCATTTTCTGAATTTGCATCAGAACAAATGTAAACAGCAGGACCACAAACTATTGAGAGTATTCTCTTCTGAAATCAAAATCAAATACACCTCATAATAATGATGGTTTAGCTTATGGTCCGTCAACTCCTATTCAATTTGAAAAAAAACATTAGAACATTCAAATGTAATGAAATGCCCTACCTAGATTCTACCACAGCTTTACTACCCAAACAACAATATGTACATATTGAAAGTGAGTAAAATGCACAATAAGACATCACCTAACCTATAGGTTGAGTTGACAATTTGAAAGGAAGTCTAATACTTGGTTTTCCCACAGCGAGCCCTTTTGATGAAAAAGCAGCAAAAAAAGAGAGCTGACTCTCAAATGGTGGTAGCCAATCGGGATGCTCGCCAAAAGAAACAGAAGCTCAAAACTGTGTGCTCCGATCAAACACCGCTGCTGATCAGCCAATCCCTGAGCAACACTTCCCTCACTGGTTAGTATGAGAATGACTTATGAATGTATGTAGCTATATCTATTTTAATACACATTTCAATGTAAAGTGCAATCATGTTTAGTCCTTTAAATAATAAAATCCAGGTTTGTTTGTTTTTCTTCCCTGGAGATCAAGTTGAACATGCCCATGATAACCCACTGGATGAGATCATGTTAGGTGAAGACAACACAACAGCAACTATGAAGTTTGATGAGGTGCCTTCACAGATTCCTAATACTCCCAAAAAAATGAACTTGGAGATTGACAAAGAGCCTGAGGTGAAGTGTGAAGTGGAGAATAACGCTCAGGGTGAGGGGAAAAAGCCAAAGAAGAAAGACGTGAAAAAAGAAAAAGCCAAAGGTAAGAAAATGCAAAGCAGAATATTTGATTCTAATGTGATGTCTTTGTTTTTGTTAACATGTGTGTGTACGCAAATTAATCGCTACATTTGAATTGCTTTTAACCAGAGATCGACCAGGATGATGAACAGGAACAAGAGAAGGAGAAAAAGGAGAAAAAAACAAAGAAGAAAGACAAAGCGAAAGAATCTGAAGACCCACAGAAGACAACCAAGACAACCAAACAAGAGCGAAAAAGTAAGTTCAATTTACAATTAACATATCAATACTCTATTCAAAATACGTTTACAGCATTTCAGTATCACCTACTTTACAGAGAAGCACTTGCAGGAGGAGTCGAGCCAGGAGACAGAGCCAGTGGGGGATGTGGCGAGTCCAAAGAAGAATAAAAGCAATGGAAGTGAAGCTGAAGAGGCAGAAGGGGCTGAGAGGCCTGCCACTCAATCGCCTAAGAGGAAAAAACAACTCTACACAAGTGAGCGACAATCTGGCCTTGTTGCATCTTATGATCAACAATACCATACCTTTTTTTGTAATGAATGTGGCATCTCTACAGCTAGGTGCCAAATAAGTGACGAGAGCAAAGACGAGGAAATCCAGAAGGAGAAAAGGGAGAAGAAGAAGAAGAAAGCAGAGAAGGCCGCGCCAGGTCTCGGTTCCCTTAACTCCAACTACAGAAAGGGTTCATCGTCAAACAGTGAATCCAATGACAGAGTGAGACATTACAAACGAAACGGTTTAGTGTGTTGTCTAAAGATTTTGATTAGTCACAAAAAGCATATGAAAGTAACATCATTCTCACACTTATTGTCATTTCAGTCATCGTCTCCAATTTCAGTGGAGGATCTGGAGAAGTTTGCGTTGCGTCCGGCCTCCAGGGATGTCACCATCCAGTGCAGGGTCACCAGGGACAGGAGAGGCATGGAGAAGGGAATGTACCCCACGTACTACCTCCACATGGAGAAGGAGGATGGCAATAGGGTTGGTCCTTCTACTCAACTTGAACCCAAACTTTGTGCACATTGATTTCAGTTCAAATGATCCTGTTTTATGTTCGGTCATGTGACTCATGTTGCTATGAAGGTTAATTGTCTTCTCTACAATCTTTCTGTTTTTCAGGTGTTTCTAATGGCAGGCAGAAAAAGGAAGAAGTGCAAAACATCCAACTATCTCATCACCACGGACCCAGTTAATCTTACCAGAGACACAAACTGCTACATAGGGAAACTAAGGTACATCTCTCAACCAAATCCTTTTTGTTTGATTTCCTGAGTAACTTATCAGTAAGTTCTGCAATATCTTGTATTCCTGTAAACCCTTTCAAAACCCCTTTTGGTCAAATGTAAGAATCTAGTGACATTATGCTAAACACGTGGATCTCAACCCTGGGCCTGAATCCGACTTTGGACACTTATAAGAGGAATTTAGACTCGACAAAATTAAAAAAAGACCTACAAATCAACTGTAACAGCCATGACTTGTGACTTTACTGATACTTGATCCATTTGAATGGAAAATACTTGATAACTTCCCTCAAGCCCAAAGCTTGTGATTTGTCAAAATGTCAGCCATGAAGAAGGCCCCTTACCGGTTTTCTATATTAATGGCATTGCGTGTGTAAATTGGACCATTTTCCATTTTTTGTTAGCATTTTGGGAATTTTTCCTTGATTTGTGGCATACTGACAGAATCAAATCAAAAACTTTGTAGTGCTTTGTAAAAAAAGAAATATTTCAGTATACAAAACGTGCGAGTTGAAACTGGTAACAAGCGATCATGTCTTCTTTAGGACTTAAAAAATATATGCCATTAAACAGATCTTAATGGATTTCTATTTTGCATTTTCACCTCTCACTTCATAAATGATTTTAGATTATGTAAATTACTGTTCCAATTTGTTACAGGTCCAATATTCTGGGTACAAAGTTCACAGTCTATGATGGAGGTGAAAACCCGGAGAAAAAGCCGTTTGTCAAAGAGTGTGAATCAGTGAGGCAAGAGCTAGCAGCAATCTGCTATGTGAGTCTAAAATGACCTAAAATACAACCCACTTTAACAAAACATATGACGAGATAAAACCTATAATACGATCATCTTTCACGTTCCAGGAGACGAACGTGCTGGGATTTAAGGGTCCCAGAAAAATGACAGTGATCATCCCCGGCATGTTGGAGAACGACGAAAGAGTGTCCATTCGCCCAAAGAATGTAAGTTTAAAAAGTAAAAGAACATTAAAAAAAAAAAACCTATGAAGTAAGAACAAGGAGCTGAACTGTTGTGTCATTATTATAGGATATTGATACTCTTCTGGCCCGCCATGCACACAGCAACACTGACAATCTGGTCACGCTGGTGAACAAATGCCCGAGCTGGAACGAACAGTCTCAGTCGTTTGTGCTTAACTTCCACGGTCGTGTCACGCAGGCCTCGGTCAAAAACTTCCAGATCGTCCACCCTGAAAACGGTAAGATGTCTCCTTTTATCAGGGGCGGTTCTAAGGGGGGGGGGGGGGGGGGGCAACAGGGGCCATGGACCCCCCTGTGACCCCCCTCCAAAAAAAAAAAGGTTACAATATTACGATTTATTGGAACTAAATTGAATCAGAGACCCGGATGTACACTGGAGATTAAACTGTTCATTACCTTATAAAAGCAAATACTGTTTGTGTTTGAATTAAATTGTCACTTAAAGTTACTAAAACAAATACTCTAAATAAATAAAACTACTGAAACAAAGGACTGTAACTTAAATGTACTAAAACAAATACCTTTACAAAAACAAATACCAATTACTGTATTTTATGTTTATTTTACACAACTACTTTATACTGTCTTTGCCTTTTTAACCCGCTTTTATTGTGCCCCTCTCATGAAATAACTGGCCCCAGCCTGGCCCCCCTAGTATAGTCAAACCGCCACTGCCTTTTATCCTCAACCACGAGGAAAATGTCTTGTATTTATTCTTAACTTCATGGTGATCTCTCCTTGCCCCCCTGCTGCTGTTTTCTCCAGAGGATTACATAGTGATGCAGTTTGGCCGGGTAGCAGAGGACGTCTTCTCCATGGATTACAGCTTCCCCATGTGTGCCCTGCAGGCCTTCGCCATCACGCTGTCTTCTTTCGATGGCAAACTGGCCTGTGAGTGAGCCACGCTGTCGTACCTCAAGTGCTTAACTACATCCCTACTGTTGAAAGAAACTTACAGTTTAAATTACAAGGACACCCATCAGTTTGCACAGTGTCATTTTTATTGTTTAGTTTCCTGGTGCTTTGTAACATCATGTAAACACTAAATATGAAAAGCCTGCCACAGACTTAGACTTCAGAGACTTGTTTTATAGGTCCAGTATTATTTTACAGCAGATTTTATATGGAAGTGTAATACGACACAATTATGTAAGTCATTTTATGTAATTGACTTGTCTTTCTTTTTATATTTGCCAGCTGTGTAAAGGACTTAAAATATTGAGGACGACAGTGTAAAGACTACAAAATATTAAATGACGGTATTACAAGGTTTTAATGTCCATGAATGTTTTTTTATTTATTTATTTTAATCAGGAAGTGTCTACTGCGTTTAACATGATTAAAGGATGTTTTCAAAAGCCTTCTACCGATATTTTGTTAGATTAGACGTGTTTTTCTAACCAACGCTAACATCTGACTGTTATGTGTCATATTTAGTCTTTATCATAATGAAGGAAACTCTTATCAAATTACCAAAAACGCTCATATCAGATGCAACGGTAAAGCAACAGGTTTCAGATAAAGCTAACTAATCAGGGTTTTCGCTCTTGCGCAATATAAAGACATGAACATATTCCCTCTCATAATAACTTCATGATGATCGGCTGCGTGTTTCAGAAACTGTTCACACTGCAGAGAGTCATTTAGGTTTCCAGAAATAAAAATAGGCCTGCCTCTATGCTCTGTGGTAAAGAGATCAAACGAGGAGAGATATTTTGGATTGCAAAAACCCAAATTAAAAGTGTGTTTTACAGACATGACTGTCTGCATGCTCTTTCTATAAACGTATAAATAAAGAAGAAGCCCTGAGAGTTTTGTCTTTTAAACTTTGAACCTTTGCAACAAGTCATTTAGTTGAAATGCTGACAATACGTTAACCTCTTGGGCCACAAAGTCTGAAAAAGCTTTAACTGCCACAGGTTTTTAAACTCCAAAGCAACAACATTGTGAACATCAGAGGAAGTAACCGGTATCTTTTATAAGAATCATCCAAACACACACAGAATCATCTTCAAGCTGATCTCCCCTCGCTGCTCTACTCATTGCATAACACTCCAGTAAGTTGCACAATAATTCATGTTTTCAAATTTCAGGTTGCTACACTTGACAAAGACAATAACCATGCCTTATTAGACATATTTTGACAAATGAGAGCACATCAAATAAGTTAAGGCACTAATAGAGCACACCAGCATGAAGTGAGTCTGGGCATTTGAGTGCCTGATTATTAAAAGCAGCCTCACAATGATCCATACACATCAACTATATTCCTTAATATACGTCTAGCTCTGTGCAACAGCTGCGTTTGTTAAGCTAAAATACATAAAGTCACTTTGTCATTAAGTCCAGTGCATAAAGAGCGCATGGATCAATTAAGATATACTCTTAATTTGTGCTATCCTTCTTTTGACATTTGAATGTACAAAGAAGGATAGTTGATTTAAGTCAAGTTAAATGTAACAACTGCATTTGTTTAGTTTTTTTGTCAAAATTAATCTCCCTTCAATTCTGGTATCTTCCAGCTTTGTGCCTAATCAGTAAATGACTTGAAGTGAAGAAATCTGCAGGACACTAAAAGAATAAAAGCTAAAAGAACTTCAGACTAATAACTAACAGAAATAGGTCTAATAATGGAGAAAAATACAACTGTTTAACCAAACTAAAAGAAAATACCTGGGATAATAAACTTAGTGCACAGGATGATAGATTAAAGTAGTGATGTGAAAACATTCTGATTGGTTAAACTGTAGCCCCCCCTTTCACACACTTTGCGCTCTTAAAAAAGCACATCCTCTCCCACAAGAGCATGTGAGTGATAGCTATCAGAGTGATGCCTCTCAGTCTTCATTCAAAACTGTTTAACACAGCGCTTCAGGAGGGCATGACTTAAGAAATACCCCTCGATGTGATGGATGGTCGCTCTCCGCTGAGGATGAAGCTGCTGATAGTGTTTCTGCTCGTATCCACCGACATTGTCTGTCTGCACGGACATAATACTACAGGTAATGTCTTTGCTATTATCTTCTTTAATTATAAAAAATGTGATAGAATATCATCACGATCAAGTTGCTTACCCTAACTACCCATCAAATGTAAGGGTCATTTGCTTAGAAAATACATACTATACAACATAATCAAATCATCAATCATAAAATAAAATATTTGTTGAATATTTTGATACTACTTTGATACTACTTTGATACTACTACTACTTTTGATACTACTTTGATACTATTTTGATAATACTTTGAAAAGTTTGCTAAGCTTTCCTATTATCAAAGGAAATACTTTATCTTGTTAGGTTTTTAAATACATAAATATACAATGCATGTGGTTGTAGAAGCTAAATTAATAAAGGTTGTCAGATTTATTCACGTTTTCATTTAATTCCTTCCAATCCTTAAACCATACTCATGCCAAAATGGACATATTAGTCGCTGTAATTGCCCCTGTTCACACTGGTCAAAATTAGATTTTAAACGGAAGAGTTGGTGGACAATCATTCAGGTCAGCAGCCTTAAATGTGTGAGTAAATAATATGTTTTATTGGTTTTAATACGTTTGAAATGTATTTCAGGCATCAGTTATGGTTCTAAGGAACTAAAAGGACTCCTTAACTTAAATGACCTCACAATGTGACACTTCTTACTCCTGACACTCCCAATAAACATAGTTTAAATATTTTTCAGGTGCGGTCCCTGTTCCTCACTGTGTAACAGATTACCTGTACACCATGACCTGCTCCGTGAGCATGGCGCCGTCAGACAGCAACGTCTCCTACTGGCTCACTTTCCAAAAATGGAAAAAGTACGTTTTTTTTTTTTACAGGCGCTTGTTAAAAATTGATTATCTTAATTGTGATGATGACATTGTGTTTCCTCACTCCTTTGTGCAGGAAGGACTTGCTGTGTATGCTGACAAACACAGATGGGGGCTACTTCTGCTCCTTTAAAAAAAACGATATGTTTAATGATGTGGAGTTTTATAAAATCTCACTTTGTCACAATGGGTCTAAAAGCTGTGAAAAGCTGGTTGATAAATATTATCCTTTGGACTACAGTAAGGAACACTGATTTTGGATTATTTTCCAAACGAGACACACAAAACATATTTAGATTCATATTTAAGTAATCTACCGAATTAAAAAACCTGCATTTGTCTTTAATGTGTCCTCTCTGCAGTTAAACCAAACGCACCCTGCTGCCTCACAGTCCGGCACAACGCAAGTCAACACCACTTCACCTGGAATAGTACCTATGAGGAATTTGCTCCTTACACCAGTCTGGTCGACAGACTCAAGTTTCAGCTTGAGTTTTACAGAAAAGGAGACGCACAAAACGTGAGATTCAAAGATGAAGAAATAACCCTGTTGGTGGTAATAATGGAAGTACACAAGCTTTTTGGGAGACAGCTCTAGTATTTCAGTGGCAGTTCAAATATATTTGACAAGAATAGATAGTTGGATTAAATCTCAAACATGGACAATTAGGCATTAAAGGATAGTAAAGAAAACTGCACACATTAGAAATACAAATATTAGTTTAAAGACTTAAAGGTAGGGAAGGTAATTCACCTCAGAAACACTTTCTGTTATATTCCATTGAATGCTCTCAACATCCCGATAGCAATAAATACATTTTGGAACTATATCGGAACTAAAGTGGGAAAAGTACTGCGGTGTGAACGCGGCTAAATGCTTTGACAATAAATCCATACAAAAATGTCATCTGTGGAAGCCGTAGTACTGTAAAAAGCACGACCAATCATTTTAGCCGGCCCGGCTAAAATAACTGGATGGCCTACCTGCCTGTCAGCCTTCCATCTGTGCACAAACTTATCTCGTGCCCTCATTGGTCATGTGCGCGTTCGTGTGTGTTGGAGGAGGGGCTCTGGAAGGAAGTGGCAGATTTCTTCCGGCTGTGTATTTTCAAATTCTAGCGCACTCGAGCTGGTTTCTCCAAAATTACCTACCCCACCTTTAAAGGAGAGGTGTCATGCTTTTCCGGTTATTACCCGTCCCCTTGTGTGTTATGAAGGTTTTTATGCATGTAAACGGTCTGCAGAGTCACAAACCCTCAAAGTACACCCTGTAGCGAGTAGAACTCTAACACAGAAAATACCTCCCCAAAACGCCTCGTCATTGTCCATTTGATTCTTCCGGGTACGGCATGATGTCATGCCGTACCCGGAACGAAATGGACCAATCCGTGGAGCCGTTACGTTACGTCTGCGGAGCCGTTACGTTAAGCCCCCGCTGATTGGTCCAAATTGACCAATCCACGGAGTTCCTCACACACACACACTCTGGCCGTTTCTCAATCGCGAGGATATTGGCTTCCAAGCCAATATTTCAAGGATGCTACGTCATCAAGTGGCGCAGCAGGACCGTTCCAATGTCCAGCATACTTGGAATTCCACTGAGGCCGCGTCCTTGGTTTGGGGGAAATTTCGAGGCTGCACATGGGTAGACTTTGCGTCCTTAAAATCCCCACAATGCTTTGCGCACGGACCAATTTCCCCAAATCTGTGGCGGAAAATGTAAGGTGGGGCCTCTCATATGACGCACACCTGCACACTTGCTCGCCTGTTCCATTCTTCGTTTTCCGAGGCTAGGAAGTATTCTTGCCTCGCTTCTGAAGCAAGACGCTCGGAAGACAGCTCTGCTGATTTCTCCTCCCTGGCTGCAGGCTGATAACAGACAGTTGGGATCGCGGCGAAATTCTCTCTGCAGACGCATTCCCACAGCGTTTATCAACCTTTTTCTTACTCAATATCAAGCCACACTTATTGTTTTTACTTCGGCTGTGACTTTGTGTGTGCTCAGGATGAATTTGGCTGTGTTTCGCTATGTATCCTAAACAAGGAAACAACACCTCCACGGAGCTCAGCGCGATTCACAACGTCCCGACCAATCAGAGCACACTGTGCTCACAGGGAGGGGGGGGCAAGAGCTGCAACAAGCCGTTTAGTGGAGAGAGTGAATACTGCTGAATACACACACTTTACAGAGATGCTGTATGCGAAACCAATGTGAGTTTGGAAAAATGCACAGTATAAATCTATTTTAGTATACCTCAACAATGGAATTATGATCAGTGGAAATGGCCATGACACCTCTCCTTTAAATTAAATGTAGCCAAGGCTTTTATCATAAGGGACTTAAATGCAATCAACAATTAGGATACACATTTGAACAGCAAGAATCCTGTACATTCATTTAAAGATATTTTGTGTCCAAGCTGCAGTGGAAACAGGTGGGTTTTCAGTCTGCAATGAAAGATGTGCAGACCTTTTATAATTTTGCGACTATGGCAAAAAAAGAACGACTTTTTTTTTAACTCTTTGCCACTGAGGGAGTTTGACCCAAATTACTGCGATTAAGTTCATGCATTTCAGAGATCTTACAATCATTTTCCTTTCACTTGCTTTCTACTGGTGATGTCAGCTCCTAGCAGTGAAGAGAACTTGTTTAAGTGAGAGGCGACCATAGCAACAGCTCAGTGTGGTGATGGCCTGTGGTTGAAACTGTGACTTTATTTGACCCATCTTTTTACCACGCTCATTTTGACATGTTTAGCTAAGAACGTAATAACGGCTGTTCTACTACAGTCTCCCAGTGAGCACCGCCACATTAAAGGAAAGGAATACTTCGGATTTAATACACACAGAAAATAGTTACTAAGCGTGTGTTGCTTAAATATTGAAAAATACTTTCTCTTTTCTTTCATATTCCTTGAAGAACAGACGAAGAAAACTCTTGATGAATTAAAGTAGATCTGGCCATGTTTAAAAGCAAAACTATATCAAAAACCAAATCAATTTACAAACTCAATGTGAGACCTTTTATTCATAAGTGTTTTAAATGTTAAAACGCATGTCTGGGAAGTAGTGAGTATACGACAGGATAAATGAGACTTGGATTTTACCTCTCAAGCTTGGACAAAAAATTGACAAACAATTTGTAAAAAATGAGAATGACATTGTAAAATGGTCCTAAGCAATTCAAATATTGTCAATTGTAACTGTATCATTGCATTACCATTAAAACAGAATTGGTATATTGTTTTATCCATCTGTCTGCATCATCCTGTCATATTATCTGTAAATAAATACATTTGTTAGTGAGCACAAACTGGGCCTACAGGACATCTTTCTCCTTTCCAAAGTTAACTCACATACTACTCTGTTCATTTCAGGTGTCAAAACATCCCTTCACCAATCTGTATTGTTCAGTGGATGATCAAAATTTTGATCCAGACACCGAGTACGCTGCCAGAGTGCAGACCAGTCCTGATCAGCAGCATAACAAAGGAGAGTGGAGCGACTGGTCTCCTGAAGTGTACTGGAAGACAGAGGCAGCTGTGAATGGTGGGCCTAAAAATAATATGTAAAAAAAAAGATCTGATGATTTTAGATTAATGAAGAAATTACAGTTAATCTTAAAATGCAATTTGTTGAGAAAGCAGCTTCTGGTAATGCATTACTTTTAAAAAAAAAAAAAAAAAAAAATCCATATTTGCATCTAGGCTTATTATTTAACCGTTTACTTCTACTAAATGTTGTTCCATACAGATCCCCCACCATACACATTTCTTTTGGTACTGGGCAAGGTGCTCATCTCCTTATTTGTGCTGGTGCCTTTCACCCTCCTTTTCGTCTGGGCTCCGGTTAAAAAGTAAGATCTCTCTCTGGGTTTTGACTCCTCAGCAAAGGCCAAACCCTTCTACAAGAAATGCCATTTCCTACAACCAATATACTCCTAATATCTTCTCTATGTTCCTCACACTAACAGGTGGAGGAAGGGTGCTTTCATCCCAACTCCAGCACCCTACTTCCACACCCTGTACAATGAATACCAGGGAGATTTCAAGGTAAGTGTAGCTTGTAAAACACTGACATTTACCTCCTAAGAATGTCACTAAACAAGCCTGTGATTACAGAGCTGGGTGGTGACACACGAACACACGGCCGACGTGCTGAAGGCGGAGGAAACGCTTCAAATCGACACGCTCACAAAGTGTGAAGTGGTGGAAGAGAATGAAGAGTGTCAGCCCCAGGTTTTCCACCACTTCAGGGAGGGAAGCACCTACAGCAACATATCGGACCCCGGCTGCGATGCCTCGATGCTGGGGGTCCCGTACGCTGTGAGCACCCTCCCACCAGGGCACCCCGCTGAAGGAGACTCGGGGTGCTGGCTGGAGAGGGACCCGCCCTGGTACTGCAACGAGTACTGCACCCTGAGCTCCTTCCAGCAGGGAAGCCCAGTCACAGCAGAGGATCATGGGAGCTTAAAATCCCACACCTGCCCCACAGGGATCATCAGAGAGGAGGCCGTGACTGAAGCATGAGCTCTGTGTAGTTACTGTGACGTGAACTTTGAAAGTTCAACGACACACATTTACACATCTAAAGTGCTTCAAAATAAAACGGTAAATTCTTTTTTTTTAAGTAGCCTACATATACAGGCATACATTTTTTAGTGTGCACTTATTTTTGTATCCCCCCCCCTCCCCACAGCAGTATGCATAATGTAGAGATACAAGTTAACATAACATAGCATAACATTTTGCTTGCATTCATTCATTTAATTCTGTAAATATCTGTAAACTAAAATTGTTTTTAGACATTTTTCCATCAATCCATTTCAACATTGTTTTATGATGACTGAATTTTGCTTTGTCTCTGAACCTTGAATGTATTATTTCATGATTTTTGTATTCATTTAATAAAGAAAATGCTTTAATTTTTGTAGAAATTTTTATTTACGCCGACACATACATGAACAAAGCACCATATAACCTTAAGTCTGATACAGAAGTAAGCCTACCTGCCTCAGTCATCATGGCCATTTTTATTTATTCCATAGCAAACACTCTCAATAACAAAAAGACAGCCAAGGCAGCAGATTCTATCATATATTACAGCATGCTGAATAGAAAACCTGGGAAAGAGAATTAGACAGAGCCATCTAGAGACACTAGTGAGATACAACAGTATAAAAGTGCCATTCATTATACAGCAGTTGAAATACTGACAATGAAATAAGCTAATTTAACATTACATTTATGGAAAATAAAGGGGGAAAACCCTGTGAAAGAGCATTATAAAACAAAAAGACATTTTCTTCCTTGAACATTGATGACAGCCAGCTTGCATGGAGTTGATGAAACTGGTACCGAGCTGTGTCCCTTGCACCACATAAGACAATAAATGTTTAAAAAGAAATGACCAGGGCGCTCGAGCACCCATCCCCTCCCAGCAATATGCGCCAACTGGCAATTAAGAAACTAAAACATGAAGCTCGGATGGCACAGAATGTGTGGAGTTTAAATAGAAGTCTTTAAGCAAGTCCTGATGTGAGAGGCGCACATTCATGGAGACTGAGTGGGGAGGTGATCTTGTTAAACCCATTCCTTCTGTCCAAGTCTCTGCCTTACGAGGGGGAGAATTTTTTGGCTTGTGCTCGAACTCTTTTTTCGTATTCTACTCTGTTTTGGCTGAAAAACAAAAAGGTAAAAAAAAAAGTAGTTAACATTTTGCTCTGATAAGACAATTTCCAAACAACATAAAAACACGACCGAAATGATACACGTACAAATGCAGAAAGGCCCAAGGTCTCTCTTCTGCCAGGTTGTGAGATGGAGACCTTTGGTAAATAACGGAGGACCCTGAAAGATTATCATTTGATATCATCTTTGAGTCTCCGTTTGCTTCACGTCTAAAAAGCCACTAAGACGGGTCAAGAGAGATTGAGAATCATCATTTCTAAAGTGAGGATTTAAATAAGCGGGGGAAAATGTTGATATATGAATTCATATAAAAAACACATCCACACACGTTTGTACTTCAGAAGTGCATGTTTGAAAATGTTTAAGAAGACTGTGGTAATAATCTCTTTGATCCTGGTATTGCAGTCACATCCGTTAGAAAAGCACAAGTCAAGGATGAAAAACCAATTCAGTGTCAGATACAAATAAAACTACCTTAAAGGTAGGGTAGGGTAAGAAGGGAGAAACCTCCTCGAGTGTGCTAGAATTTGAAAGTACGCAACCGAAAAAAATCTGCCCCTTCCTTCAGACTTCCTTACACACCTACCTGTTTGTCCGGACTGTTCTGTATGATCCACACCAGAGTTACAGGTGTGAAACCCCCGGCGAAATAGAGGTGACTTAATCCTGAGCTAACAGGTATTTTCAAGCTTAAAATCATGGATCGTCCAGAGCAATGACTAGAAATTCTGGCAGGCCATCAACTTGTGATCAGAGGAAGGGCTCAGCGCGGTCGAGTGAGAGACGGATGTAGCTCAGAGCAGACCTCTCTGGGAGTTCGGAGTAGAGTCAATTATTGTCATCAGTATGTAGTAAATGTACAGTGTAAGTTTGGCCATGAATAAACACTGCAGCTCAAGACCAAAGTCAGGTTCCTGTTTCTTGTTTCTCAGCTTCATGGTCTCCTATAGGTGGTTAGCACAGTTGCAGAAAACCGAAATGAATTTCCCAAAAGAGATGAGCGAGACGCAGCTCATTTAGGTTTGACGACAGGATGAAGGTACGCCATTTATCGTTCTTTAGTGCAGTCGCACATTGCAAAAACACAAATTAACCGGATCAAATAAGAACTTTTAAGGTGTGAAAAGGCCCAAAGTTAATATATTTTTTTCCCTATAAACGTTTAAAGATGTTTTGGTTTTACCAGTCAGCAAAGTGAAGAGAGATATATGAGAATAATAAAACGTCTTGATGTGTTGGTGGGAACAACAAAGTCTGTGGGAACATTTTTGATTGATCCCTCAAAACCCTGCAGTTTTACTTTTGGTACAAAAAGCTGTACAAATGTCTATTTTCTCTGACTTTCACTTAACAACCATTTAATTTTTAATGAGCAGAATTTATTTTAGAGTTAGAGTTTATCAGTTGACAACAGCTGTCTATAAGAGATCATTAACCTTCTCATTTCTTTATACAGGGTATATGCAGGAATCCTGAAGTCAAATGTAATACCTTTTAAGACCTTTTTTTAAGACCCTTATAAGACCTCATCGCCACTTGGAGTTTTAACCGGTTACATTGGCGACACACTTTACCTCACATTGACTGTATTGATTGTCCTTCCTCCTTATCTTCCAACCATTTGGACGCAAACTTGCATTTCCCCATAACGATGTTGTTTAACAACCGGCGTAAACGGAGCTTCGCACGCTATCAAGCAGTGAGCGTGCGATGTCCTGTTCAGATGACGTCAGACCCAACGGGATGCCATAAATAAACTACACAGAATCACACTACACACCTACGCAATGATTACAGATGAAAACCAAGGTCACTCACCAGTAGATTGTGTAAGCCTCTGCTTGGGCTGGATCCTGGATATTTGGTTCATTTAGGAGTTCCTGGATACCTAATAAGATCTGTAGGGTAAATTAGACAACATCACATGTGTTAGTGATACAATGTAAAAGCTGTTTGGGTTAAATCTCCCTGAATTGTTTAATAACCTGTGACCCTTATTTTCCAGCAGTCAGTAACAATTCATATTGAATCATAACAAGAGCCAAGTTTCATATAACTATGTCAATATAACTCCCTTTGTTTTGTTCAAGCAAATTCATTTTAAGATGCAGTCACTGATATAAATGTAGAGGTACAGTATGAAACCAAAAAAAATAATATATAAGACTTTTCAGAAATGTCCTATAATGTAGATGAGGTATGCTTGGCAATCCAGACCTGCTTTATTGTGATGGCTGGTCTCCAGTCCTTGTCCTCCTCTAGAATTGATAGGCATACCGTGCCTGATGGATACACATTTGGGTGAAAGAGAGGAGGCTCAAATTTACCTGAAACCCAAGAAAAGAAAATGTAAATGCATCTTTGTTGCAGATCCATTACAAATGTCAGACGATGAACAAATTCCACTTTTTTCTGACAGCTTTTCCACAAAATACACGGACTGAACGTTTCCATTTAAAAGCAGCAGCTTCTGTTGTTCAGAGAGCAGTGACCTAATGGTATCTATTGTGACATTCAGACAACATCAACCCTGTTGCAGGTTAGAGGAACATTGAACATCACAGTGCAGGACCCACAGGGGAAAGGCACATTCCTAAATGATTGTCATGGTTGATAAAGCGTTGTGTTGTGCAGTTTTTGCCATGTTATTTCTGATTGCGCAATGCCGATAGACTTCTTCAAGCATCTTGTAAGACATAATAACAGAGTGCAGTAATCCCAATAACAGTTGTGTTTTCACTGATCACAGGTCAGACACAGTAACTCACATTTTGGAGGCGAAGAAGGATAGTCATCCTTGAACAACATGCGCAGTTTGAATAGGCCTCCTTCCCACGGAGTCTGAGGAGAAACACAAGCATTAGATTCATATTGGCACTAGTTTCCAACAGTAATAACTCTTGAAAACCATGTTGTTATTATTGCCAGATATATTTTAAAAGTAGGTTTCAGGCTCATCACTCTTTAAGAATGATCAATTTTCCCATTCACCGGCTACAGAAATAACAGTGGCTTCAAATAAGCTCATTGTGCTCCATGTAGCAGGGGATGCTGCGTAAAGCAAATATGTTCTATATGCAAAAAGACAGAGCAATACATTACCCCTTTCTTGCCAGGAATAGCACATTCCCAATTCATGAGATTCATGGTTCCGTCTGGATTTTTTGTTGGTACAGCAACAAATCCCTGAAAGATTGAACGAGAGTGCAAACATTTATAAAGATATCAGTTGACAAGATCAGACCTGGCATTAACATGCAGTTTGGTGATGAGACCACAAGTGGACAGGCCCAAGTGCGTCAGTTAAGCCCGGCATTAGGATGCAGTTTGTTGATGAGATCAGAAGTGGACAGGCCCAAGTGCGTCTGGCATTAGTATGCAGATCCACACGTCTCCAGTGACCATTTGTGATCGGATCACACTTCACTGTTTTATATGTAAATACACACAAACATAATTCTCTTTTTCACGGTACATAATGGAAAGTTGTGGTTGTTAATGTTGTGTTGTGTATTCCATTTTAAAGTAATTACTCGCACATATATTACAGAAACCGGCAATGATTAAAGAAAAGCACTGCCTACAGTTTGTGTGCCTTCGGGCATACTTTTCTCAGCCTGACTGCAGTGTGTGTGTTCTTTTCAAATTCATTTTAAGAACATAAAAATATGAGATCATGGTCTACCGACATCCTCTGTGCCAGGCAACTGCAGCACAGAGAGCTCAAAGGTGTATTGGGGATTAGAGAAGTAAGGCTGGTGTCACATATATTCAAAGTTTCTTTTTAATTTGGCCGAAGATGCATTGGCATACTTCTGATGAGAGAATGTGGCCATATACTGCAAAGACCACCTTCAAATATGGTCTGAGCGTTCAGATTTGAAGGAAGCTTGGATGCATGGACACCTGTTCTTTATAGCTATCCACTTGTGAGCTGACATTTTATTTTCAGGTTTGAACAGGATGGTGAGGACAAAGCAGGTGCATCTCATGAGACACTACTTACGAAAGGATGGTCTTTCCGCCATGCCTTGCGCTCCTGGGCAAGGCGGCTCAATGCAATGCCTGACATGATTCGGGGACTCCTGCAATAAGAATAGACATTCAAGACAATTATATAACACATTATCTTAAACAGGGATATTCACAAGTAAACTTTGTCAAGGTTATGTCATGAAAGATGTTAATCATACATGGTTTTAAAAGCTGACAAGTGTTGCCAATTAAGTCATTA